TCTGTTCTGTACATCTGTGTCTCTTTTTCTGTTTTGCATATAGGGTTATCATTACCATCTTTCTAAATTCCATATATATGTGTTAGTATGCTGTAATGTTCTTTATCTTTCTGGCTTACTTCACTCTGTATAATGGGCTCCAGTTTCATCCATCTCATTAGAACTGATTCAAATGAATTCTTTTTAACGGCTGAGTAATATTCCACGGTGTATATGTACCACAGCTTCCTTATCCATTCGTCTGCTGATGGGCATCTAGATTGCTTCCATGTCCTTCAAGCCAGCTTTTTTACTCTCCTCTTTTACCTTCATCGAGAGGTGATGTTCCTCTTCCCTTTCTGCCATTAAAGTGGTATCATCTGCATATCTGAGGTTGTTAATATATTTCCTGAGAATCATGATTCCAGCTTGTGATTCATCTAGTCTAGCATTTCGCATGATGTACCCTGCTTACAAGTTAAAAAGAGTGATGATATACAGCCTTGACGTACTCCTTTCCCAATTTGGAACCAGTCTGTTATTCTACGGCCTGTTCTAACTGTTGCTTCTTGTCCTGCACAGAGGTTTCTCAGCAGGCATGTAAGGTGGTCTGGTATTCCCATCTCTTGAAGAATTTTCCACAGTTTATTGTGATCCATACAGTCAAAGCCTTTAGCATAGTCAATGAAGCAGAAGTGAAATTCACTCACTCGTGTCCAACTCTTTGCAACTCCATGGACTCTCCAGGCCAGAATACTGGAGTGGGTTAGCCTTTCCCTTCTCCAGGAGATCTTCCCAACCCAGGGATTGAACCCAGGTCTCCTGCATTGCAGGCAGATTCTTTACCAGCTGAGCCACAAGGAAAGCCCAAAACGTGTTAGTCATTCAGTCATGTCCGACTCTTTGCGATCCTATGTATATTCCAGAAAAAAGAGTTAAAAGAACTGCAGATAGTTACATGGGAAGACAGCTTACCTGGGGATTTCAGTGTACTCCTTCCTATATACATTATACACACAAATTACTTTCATAAAAAATAAAGACTAAATGAAAAAAAGGCAAAAAGTTGAAAACATACCAAAATGTTAACAGAAGTTTTCTTTAGGAAGTTAGCTTTCAAATCTTTTATTCTTTTGTATTCTCACATTTTCTAAGATAATAATTTCTTAAAAATCAGAGTGGAAAAACAGAAGGGCCTTGTCTTTCATTTGTGTGCTTGACGCTTAACATGGTGTTTTTAGTTACCTCACTTAATCCTCATAACAACCCTGTGAAGCAGATATTACAATTTTGAATTTTACCATTAAGAAAATAAGTGATGAAACTTACAAAAGGTCATTTATGTAACTACTGTCACTTTTTTTTCCTACACCATAAAAAGTATTGATAATTTAAAAATAAAGAAGAAAGATGTGGATAGAAGAGAGGAAATGGTTATTTTTAAAGGTAAATGGAGATAGGTATGGGGCCCCAGTGAAAGGCAAAATTATCATACACATAAAGGGTACTCATTCTAAACTGTTTATGTACACAATTTAATGTAATTGATGCATATAATTAACTGTCAATGTAATAAGGATTTGTATATCAGGCTTATAGTATATAAGTTCAAACAGGAAAACTAGATTTTTTTGCAGGAGGTAAGATGGAAGCTGCTGGCGCCCTCTCTCAGTAACTTAGGCAATGGGGAAAGTCACCCTGGTGGGCATATAATGAATGATTCCTAAATGGCGACCGACTCCAGGATTCCTGCCTGGGGAATCTTGTGGATGGGGACTCTGGGGTGCTATACAGTCCATGGAGTCACAAAAGAGTCGGTCATGACTTAATGACTAAACAACAATAATGAAAGCAAAATACATTTTTTTTAATATAAACTCAAAATTATATCTACATAAACTTGAAACTGTGGATTTTTTGTTATTTGATTCCTAGGATAACAAATTAGTCAAATTAAATATGGAATAAAATGAAATTATACATGAAAAGTTTTTATAAGCTTTGTTCATCTTTTCTACACAGAGAATACACACTACATTTTTTAGCATTTCCTATTCTAGTAATTTTATTTTTTTCAAAACAAGCGTTTTATTAAAAAATTTTTTTTTCTATTCTTTTCCAAATTCTTTTCCCATTTAGGTAACTACAGAATATTGAGCAGAGTTCCCTGTGCTATACCTGTATGTCTCTGTTGGTTATCTATCCTAAATGTTGCAGTGTATACATGTCAGTCCCAAACTCCCAATCTATTCCTCCCCACCCCATCCTTCCCTTCTGGTAATCGTAAGGCACAAAGAATATATACTTTAAATGCTGAGATGAAATGCTACCTACTAGGCGTCACTTTCTCTAAACTCTAGAAACAGAATGAATTACTTCCCCCTCCATAACACTGCTGGAATATTCATCACAATGAATCACAAGTAATTATTTACAAGTTTATCTATCCTGTTAGATAATGAGTTTTAAGAGTGCAAATGCTGTAGATTATTCATGTTTTATTCTTATTGCCAAATAAAACTTCTGGTTACAAAATAGGTCCTGGCAAAAACTTGTTTGAATTAATACTAAGTTAACTGAGTTAATACTGAGTTAAAACTGAATTAATACTGAGTTAAAGAAGACAATTCATAAGTACAATGAAAAGGAAATACACTGAAAAGACAGAATCCATTATTAGATTTATTGGAAATCCTGTTTTCTTTTAGACACCGTCACCAAGGCCATCGTTTTAACATGTAACTCAAATGCTACTTCCACCCTTAAGTTTCTCCTGATTTTCTCCAGTTACAAATATCTGTTCCTTTCTCTGCACATCTAAACACTTTCACTTCTATTAATAGCCTTTCACTTTCCTGTTTTTATTTTTAAAAAATTATTTAAAGAGACAATATCCTATCTTATTCATCTTTTAATGTACAAGATCTACCTATCATTGGCCTAGCATATAATACACATTCCAGGAATGCTTGCTAATTAACAATTTATTAGACCTGAAAATATTCAAATCATTATAGATAGTCTGCATAATTTCCATTATAACCAAGATGAAGGCCAGAGTAGTCTTAGGAGCCTTTGGTCTTCCTGATAAGTCCTTCTATTACATCCCACTGATCCTTGGTGACCTACCACAAAAAGAAAAAGTCAATTTAATGAGGTTCTTGGGTGTTTTTAAAGCTTAGTATCCTCACTGTTAATATTGTATTACATTCACAAAATGGCATTACCTTCCTCAGACTGTTGAATTCCCCTGAAATAAGTACTTCCTCTCCACCATCAAATCTGATTACCTAAAAAATGATAATAAAAGCTGTGAAATTAACTTCTTTTTAAAAGTTTTCTGAACCATTAGCCATTTTTCCCTTCTAACTGGCTGGAATATCTCTTTGACACTTTCAATCCAAGCACAAGTTTTAAAGACAAAACTGACAATTAAACATAAATTGATTTACTCTCTTAAAAATCCTCTCTCCATCATTTCTATGATTTCAAATTCTACCCAGTCTTAAAGATCAGCTTAAAGGCATGTCTAACAGAGCTATTTGCAGTTAATAAAATTAATTTATTAAAGAATCAACTCCATAAGCTTAAATTATATTAGTATTTCTATATTATAAATAACATCCTAAATACAGCTCATTAAATAATTTAAATCATATTTACATTCAACATCGTTGGGATTGGTTCTGCAGTCCACCTTCCCACCCCAAATCCACTTCCCAAAAGTGTTGAGAGAGAAAACAATGCTTACAGCTCCATTAATCCAAGAAGCATAATCACTACAAAGGAAAGCAGCAAGATTTGCGAGTTCTTCCACAGTTCCCAGCCGACCGCAGGGAATTCTGTCAATCATTTCTTTCTCAAATGCTCCGGTTGGGTCCATACGGCTAAAGGCACCCTTAGAAGTTAAGAAAATAGTTAGGCTGCTTTAAAAAAAAATCCTATTTAAGAAATAAATTTGCAACAAATGGAATGTTACTAAGGCAGCCTGTTCATATCTTACTCCCTATATGCAAAAAGTTTTGCCAAATTCTTCCATATTCATTTTGCCTAATATTGACCCTTAAAAAGCCACTAGAACATATAACCTTTCTCCATTAGTTTCTTCATAAGTAAAATGTGGACGCCTGTCTGAGCTAGCTCACAAAATTGCTGCCCGAGAAATGAGAAAATGTATACAAAAATACTCTGAAATACGTACAAGTTTAGTGTGATGGAAGTAAGGAGGCTACTGCCATTTGATTTAACACAGAAAAACGACCCCAGAAGAAAATATTTAAGAGGAAATTCCTTTTCCTTCTCCTTTTTTTCCTCAAAATCATAGGAAAGGAAGAAAACAAGTATGTAGTAATATCAAACTCAAGTAGGTCCCAGAGAGAGAAAAACCATAACTAAACCTGCCAAACAATTTCTGCCTTCTGTGAATGATGAGGAGGAGCAGGCCAAGATAAAGGATGCATGCCTGTGCTCGAGTGTGTGAGTTGCTCAGTCGTGTCTGACTCTCTGTGACCCCATGGACTGTAGCCCGCCTGGCTCCTCTCTCCATGGGGATTCTCCAGGCAAGGATACTGGAGTGGGGTGCCATGCCCTCCTCCAGGGGATCTTCCCAACCTAGGGACTGAACCCACATCTCTTATGTCTCCTGCATTGGCAGGTGGGTTTTTTAGCACTGGCGCCAGTGGGGAAGCCCAAAGTATGCATGCACACTGATTAATGAAAGTGATTGACGTTTCCTCCACGAGTGCCTGGAAGTCTGGGTGACGATTCTTTTCGGTAACACAGACATGAGCCAGAGCAAGCACACACAGGCTCCTTGTGAGCCCTTCAGCCTTCCCTAGACAGATGTAAAGAAAATCATAGATAAAGGTGTCAAACCTGGTTCTATCAGTGCTGGCTAGAGTTTCCATACTTCAATTTCCTTTTAATTTCTTTAAAATTATATGCTTGTCATTTGCATAAAACGCATACCTAGACTGCTAAAGCTCCTGGATGGCAAGCATTTTGTCACAACTGTTTTTGTATCTTTCTCAGCACCTCTGCACACACAAGGCACTCAGTAAATATATGTTAAATAAATAAAAAATGCAGAAGACCCTTCCTAGATATTGAGGTCCTAGGATGAAGTTTCAATGACTGTTTAATCCTTTTCAGACAGTGCTTAACACAGTGATACTCTGAATCAATTTTAATATGTGCATTTGAATTATTTTTCCATTAATTTTATCATTTTTTATAATTTAAGTGCCAAACAAATAAGATGTTCAGTCAAGTTTCAGTTAGGCAGGTTTTCTATCTTCCACCCTTCAAACTACTTAATTAATACAACCATCTTCATGTTAATACTTAACAACCCAGAACCACCTATAAGGCAAATGTTCCTTAGCATTATTTTCCATTTATATAACAATACTGGAGTGGGTAGCCATTCCATTCTCCAGGGGATCTTCCTGATCCAGGGATCAAATCCAGTTCTCCTGGATTGCAGGCAGATTCTTTACCATTTGAGGCACCAAGGAAGCCCCCTCAGTTTATTAAGTTAAAGTTAGCAAATTCCACCTGGGCCTTCAAAGCAACACTGCAGGTGGGATTAGAAATTCCTGCTTTACATGAAAACAAAAAAGTATGAGAAGAAAGTTATTGGGGATAATGTGAGAGAACAGAGAATCTGTGAACTTTTTCAGCAATGTCTATAATAGCATAAGTGATAATTATGAGTTGCAATGAATATCTGGTTATAGGTAAATTACATGCCATCAGAAGAATTTTTAATAGCAGAGACATGGGAATTAGATGACATACATAACTAAGTGTTTAAAGTGAAAAGGCACAGATATGACTCAAAGAAAATGCTACTTATTTTCTACATATAAGACCAAGCTTATATGATAAATTTAGAAAGCATCTCTAACATTTAAAATATAGTTACACATCCATGATTTTAAAAAAAGGATGTCAAAGTAAGAACCTGTAAAATATATTAAAAAATAAGAAATATAATAATAGACCATTAAAACAAATCAGACAAAATGCCAAAATTCATGGCATAGAAGATCCCAGAAAAATTATATTAAGACACTGAAATAGGCCTTATGAAGGAGTCGTGTAACTGCTGTTTTCTTTCCCAGCTCCTTATTTCTCATGTTGGATAATAACAAAACCGTCTTCCCTTCTCCCAGGGCTCTAAACTCCGCTATCCTTGGAAAATGCTGCCCATTGCAGAACATATGTATTAATCGTCCACTCCTTAATCACTCAAAACGTGATCATAAGCAAACCAAAACTTACTTTGGTTTTTATAGGCCCTGGTTGAATCACATTGAATCTCATTCCATATTTACCCCATTCAGCTGCAAGAGACCTAAAAATTCAAACAAACAGTACCAATTTAAAAAATATTATACTATTAATTACAAATACCATTAACCAAGACTTACCACATGCCAGAGACTACAGCTCCAGTAGGTAAGCACTATTATTCCCTGTGTTACAGACAAGGAGACTGAGGCACAGAGAAAATAAGTCATTGGCTCTGGGTCATATGGCTAGTGAGTCTTCGACTTCTAGAAGTCTAGCTCTAGAGTTTGTGCCCTTAGTCACATGCTTCTGTATTATATAACATTTACATTCTAGTGTCCGAGGCACTATGCTAGACTACCTACCATTCATATTTTAGCATGAAGACCAATATCAGCATACATTTTTAAAGAGGATAACACTATTTAGCATAAAGAACTGAGAGAATGATGTCTCTTCCTCACATTTTCTGGAGTTCAATGCAACTTTACTTTTAGTACATTAGATCACAGTGTCTGCAACATTACAAGTGCCTTCATCGAGTAAATGATGGAAACTGTAAAACGTGCCAATATTACTCAGAGGAAGAAGTACCCATCTCTACCAGGAGACAGAGGGAAGCCTTCCTTCAGGAAGTGAGAGTTGAGCAGACACTTGAAGAAGGATTAGGAGGTTTTTGTGGGAGTAAGGGGAAAAGAGAAGAGGATGGAAGATACTGGAAGGGAGGGTGGAGAAAAGAAGACTGTCCAGGAAGACTGGACATGGGCCAGTGGGTGTAAAGGACAAAGGCAAACAATACGCAGTCTCCAGGACCTAAAAGACCTTATCTGGTATGACTGTGTGCTACAAGGTATGGAAGAGGGCTGATGGGAACTCAGGCTGGGGAAGAACACACACATTTATTGAGCATCTACTATGTGCAATTCACTGTGTAGTAATACAATATCAAAAAAGCAGCATAGGATCATGGCCCTCAAAGAACATGAAATTCAAATATCTAATAAGATCTCGGCAAAACAAATAGAGATATTGTACAAATGGTGTCAAAATAGTCAAATTCTAAGCTCTTATTTCCAATATCATTTCACCTTAAAAATGGTAATTATCTCTCTTCAGACTAAGTTTAAACTGCTGAGTAAAGTACAATTTTGCCTCCCAAACAAATGTGTATTATTAGCTTACAAGTTAAAAAGTACCTTAAAACTACTCAAAAAAGAGAACTGTATAGTTCAGCAGGAACTGAGCATTGGTTATGTACCAGATCTTGCTGAGCAATGAGCAAGATGAATAAGATCTGCTTTCTTCTCTCACAGTACACAGATCCTAGTGGGGAAGTTATATAGCTTTAATAATATATTAAAAATGGTCTACAATGCCCTTCTCTGTGCGCCTCCATTTTAGAATCTACAACACAAGATAGCCTTTATTAATGTGTGACTCTTCTCATTAGATTAGAATAAACAAAGTTTTAAAGGTGCAAAGGGTTATTGTTGCTCAGTCGCTAAGTCCTGTCTGACTCTCTGCGACCCCATGGACTGCAGAATGCCAGGCTTCTCTGTCCTTCACTATCTCTCAGAGCTTGCTCAAATTTATGTCCATTGAGTCAGTGATGCCATCCAACAATCTCATCCTCTGCCACCCTCTTCTGCTTTTGCCTTCAATCTTCCAGAGAATCAGAGTCTCTTCCAATGAGTCAGCTCTTCCCATCAGGTGACCAAAGTGTTGGAGTTTCAGCTTCAAAATCAGTCCTTTCAATAAATGGGTTGATTATCTTTAGGACTGACTGGTTTGATCTTCACACAGTCCAAGGGACTCTCATGAGTCTTCTCCAGCACCACAGTTTCAAAGCATCAATTCTTTAGTGCTGAGCCTTCTTTATGGCCCAACTCTCACATCTGCACATGACTACTGGAAAAACCATAGCTTTCCTATACGGACCTAAGTCAGCAAAATGATGTCTTTGCTTTTTAATGCACTGTCTAGGTCTGTCATAGCTTTCCTTCCAAGGAGCAAGCATCTTTTAATTTTGTGCCTGCAGTCACTGTTTACAATGATTTTGGAGCCCAAGAAAATAAAGTCTGTCATAGCTTCCAATTCTCCTTATTTGTGATGGGACTGGATGCCATGATCTTTGTTTTTTGAATGCTGAGTTTCAAGACAACTTTTTCACTCTCCTCTTTCACCTTCATCAAGAGGCTCTTTAGTTCCTTTTCACTTTCTACCACTAGAGTGGTATCATCTGCATATCTGAGGCTGTTATTTCTTTCAGCAATCTTGATTCCAGCTTCTGATTCATCCAGTCTGGCATTTTGCATGAGTACTCTGCATCGAAGTTAAATAAACAGGGTGACAATATATAGCCTTGTCGTACTCCTTTTCCAATTTTAAACCAGTTGCTTGTTCCATGTAAGATTCTAACTGCTAGTTCTTGACCCTCATACAGGTTTCTCAGGAGACAGGTAAGGTGGTCTGGTATCCCCATCTCTTTAAGAATTTTCCAGTTTGTTGTGATCCACCCAGTCAAAGGCTTTGGCACAGACAATGAAGCAGAAGTAGATGTTTTTCTAGAATTCCCTTGCTTTTTCTATGATCCATTGAATGCTGACAGTTTGATCTCTGGTTGCTCTGCCTTTTCTAAAGCCAGCTTGCACATCTGGCAGTTCTCAGCTCATGCACTGCTGAAGCCTGGCTTGAAGGATTTTGAGCAACACTTACTACCACATGAAATGAGTGCAGCTGTGCAGTAGTTTGAGCATTATTTGGCATCACCCTTCTTTAGGTTTGGAATGAAAACCGAGCTTTTCCAGTCCTGTGGCCACTGCTGAGTCTTCCATGTTTGCTGACATATTGAGTGTGGTGCTTTAACAACATCAACTTTAAGGATCTGAAATAGTTCAGGGGGAATTCCATTGCTTCCACCAGCTTTGTTCGTAGGAATACTTCCTAAGGCCCATTTGAATTCACACTCCAGGATGTCTGGCTCTACACGAGTGACACCATCATGGTTATCCCAGCCATTAAGACCTTTTAGGATAGTTCTTCTGTGTATTCTTTCTCCCTCGTCTTAATCTCTTCTGCTTCTGTTAGGTCCTTACTGTTTCCATCATTTGTCGTGCCCAACCTAACATGAAATGTTCCCTTGGTATCTCCAATTTGCTTGAAGAGATCTCTAGTCACTCCCATTCTACTGTTTTCCTCATCTACTTCTTTGCATTGTTCATTTAAGAAGGGCTTCTCATCTCTCCTTGCTCTTCTCTAGAACTCCGCATTCAGTTGGGTGTATCCTTCCCCTTCTCCCTTGCATTTTGCTTCTCTTCTTTCCTCAACTATTTATAAGGCCTCCTCAGAAAACCATTTTGCCTTCTGGCATCTCTTTTCTTGGGGGACAGTTTTGGTTACTTCATCATGTACAATGTTACAAAGCTCTGGCCACAGTTCTTCGGACACTCTGTCTACCAGATCTAGTCCCTCAAATCTATTCGTCACCTCCACTGTATAATCATAAGGGATTTGATTTAGGTCATACCTGAATGGCCTAGTGGTTTTCCCTACTTTCTTCCATTTAAGTTTGAATTTTGCAAGAAGGAGTTAATGATCTGAGCCACAGTCAGCTCCAGATCTTGATTTTGCTAACTGTATAGAGCTTCTCCATCTTTGGCTGTAAAATATAAAATCAGTCTGATTTTGGTATTGACCATCTGGTGGCGTCCATGTGTAGAGTGGTCTCTTGTGTTGCTGGAAGAGATGTTTGCTATGACCAGTGTGTTCTCTTGACAAAAATTATGTTAGCCTTTTCTCTGCTTCCTTTTGTACTCCAAGGCCAAGCTTGCCTGTTACTCCAAGAAATGAGAAAAAATATCCCAGAGGAGGTGATATGAAAGCCCTAAAGCGAGGAGAAATCTATTACAGTAAATTCTAACAACAGCACAATCTAGGCAGAGACATATGAACGTGCATGATGTGTTTAAGGAAGTATAGAGTTTAGAATATCATACTGAGTTTTGGCTTTTATTCCAAAGATGAACAGAAAAATGATATAAGGTTTTTAGCCAGGGAATTATAACAAGCAGATAGACATTGTTAGAAAGATGAGTCTGGTGGGAACATGAAAAAAAAATAAACTGGCAGCAGAGAAACATATTATGGGGCTATTACAATAAAAACGAAAAGCAATGATAAGAACTTACATTAAAACAAAGACACTGGGGAAGTCCAATGGGGAACAAATTCAAAAAGCAATCATACACTGCTGAGAAAAAGCCAAAAGACCTGAAAAGTGGAAATTGTCTATGCTAGTTCTATCAACCCTGTATAATAGTGGAGCAAGTATAACAAAAGGATGAAAGCATATTCAAGGGAGGTCAGAGGGGGCACTAGGAGAGAACATGGACACTCCAGTCTAAGTTCCTATCGGTCCTTTTCTCAAACTTTATAATACAGTCGCACTGGATAAATGATTAAAATTAAGTAATAATTAGTTTCTCAGTCACGGTAACCACAACGCAAGGGTTCCATGGCCACTTGTAGCTACTGGATGGTACAGATCTACGGAACAATTCAGTCACTACAGAGAATTCTAGTGGACAGTGCCTCTGTAGACAAACAAGACCTATTCATGAGACGCAATGTCCCCTGGCAAATCCAAATTAGCCATTGTTTTAGTTTTCTCTGGAAAGAAACAAGAAAGCAAGAATTTAGTTACACAGGCTTTCAAAGCACATCATCTCCAGGGACAAGATTAACCTGATAGTACTTATTAGATTACTATATACACAGTAATATAAGATTAACAAGATAGTACTCACTTGTTCAAGGCCTCCACTCCTGCCTTGGCAGAAGCACTTGGTACTACAAAACCTGATCCAGTCTCAGCATAGATGGTTGTAATAGCAAGAAATGATGCGCCTAATATTTTTAAATGATACAGTAATTAACAATACAGCTAAGCCAATTCACATCAGGAAAACATTATTTAAAATAATGGGATCTGATTCAAGAGGGTATAACAAAAACTGAAGAACTTTTTAAAACTTTACTAAGGCTAAATTAATGAAACAGTAATCTACTAAAATTGCCTCATCTTTCTTTGCTAGTAATCTTGCTATCACTCAGGATGGCCCAATCTTAATCAAAATTCTAGGCCAACCTATACCTAGGCTCAAATCTCAGAGGCCCTGCATAAGCAGCTGGATAGGATTTCCATTAGCTATCCACCCATTTAAACAAGAATAAATCAGAACTAAAACTAAATTAGCAGGGACTTCTGCCTTCAGCACCACAGACTTGCCTTCCTCCTGTAAACATAAAGAAACTGTAGCAAATATATGATACAACTATTTTCAGATACTGTTTAGCAGGCAGGGAAGACAGCAATTTCTGAAAGGAGAAAAACAAATGAAATGAGCCATAAGATCACACTTGATATAAAGGTACTATACATATACTATAGTATGTACTACATATATATATATATATATATTATAGTGTATATTACGGTCTATATAGTATATATCCTATATACATGTGTCATATAGACTGTCGCACAAGGAGTGGGAAAACAGTAAAATATAGCATTATCACGGTGTTTGGGAGACAGACTGGAGTTTGGAGAGAATGAGGAAGTTTGAATTTGTGAGCAGATTTACCCCAAAGGAGAACATATGTAAAAACAGAGCCTCATCAATCTGCAGAGTGTATCCTTGAGTCTGGTCAGACACCAAAATGTACATGTTAGGCTAAGAGTCCATAAGGTCAGGCAAGAACCTGGGAGCCATCTGAACAATTCCCATAGTACACATAGGGCTGGGAGATAAGCGAGTCCAAGGAGCCTTGTTGAGTATCGGGGCTTTCAGCGGAATGCCCAGAAGGGCTGTGCATCAGAAGGAGGGTGTTTGTTGCTCAGCTGCTAACTTGTGCCCAACTCTTTGCAACCCATGGACTGCACCCCAGGCTTCCCTGTCCTTCACCAGCTCCTAGAGTCTGCTCAAATTCATGTCCATTGAGTCAGTGACACCATCCAACCATCTCATTCTCTGTTGCCCCCTTCTCCTCCTGCCTGCCATCCTTCCCACCATCAGGGTCTTTTCCGATGAGTTGCCTCGTCGTATCAGGTGGCCAAAGTAGGAGGATTTAATTAGCCCAAAGTAAAGTCTACTCTAGACACACCCAAATAAAACTTCAAAGTGAACACTGAACTAATGGACCTGATCCACAAGCTTTTAATTCAAAAGGCAATGAAAATGCATACATATATGTGGACACCACTTACATACACACACATGCACACACCTCAATGACATAAAATTTATAGCATGCAACCAAAAATTACTACATATGAAAAGATATAGACACAACCAGGAAAAAAATCAGATAATAGAAAGTCTCTCAGAAATGCCATCAAAGATAGAATCGGCAGATGAAGACCTTTCAGATGATACTGTACGTTGAATGGCTGCATGTAAAAAACAAATCCTCATGCTGCATACAAAAATAAACCGAAAACGGATCAAAGACCTAAATGTGAGACCTAAAACTGTAACAGTCCTAGAAGAAAATAAGGCAGAACACTCTGGCACAAATCACAGCAATATTTTTTTAGATCTGTTTCCTAAGACAAAAGAATAAAGGCAAAAATTAGCAAGTGACACAATTAAACTTAAAAGCTTTTGTACAACAAAGAAAACCATGAACAAGATGGAAAAAAACCTCCTAAATAGGAAAAAGTAGACAAATAAGATAACTAATAAGGGGTTAATAACCAAGATATGTAAATAGCACATGCAACTCAATGTTAGATAAGCCAAACAGCTCAATTAAAGAATGGGCAAAAGACCTGAATAAACTGTTTCCAAAGAAGATATATAGATGGCCATCAGACATAAGAAAAATGCTCAACATTACTAATCATCAGAGAAATACAAATCAAAAGCACAATGAGACATCACCTCACACCTGAAAGAATGGCTATCACCAAAAGTCTATAGATAACAAATGTTGGCGAGGATGTACAGAAAAGGGAATCCTAATATGTTGTTGATGGGACTGTAAATTGGGGCAGCCACTATTGAAAACAGTATGGGGTCCTCAAAAAATTAAAAGTAGAATTACCACATGATCCAGTAATTCCATTGCTGGAAAGAAATGAATGAAGAAAAGGAGCATACTAATTAGAAAAGGTACCTGCACCCCAATATTCACAGTGGCATTATTTACAATTGCCAAGATATGGAAGCAATCTTAAGCGTCCATCAACAGATGAATGAATAAAGAAAATGTGATGTATATATACACAATGGAATATCACTCAGCCATAAAAAAGAATGAAATTGCAACATCTGCAACAAAATGAATGGTCCGAAAGAGTATCATGCTTAAGAAAATAAGTCAGCGAAAGCCAAATGCTATATGTTATCACATATATTTGGAATCTAAAATCTAAAATGTACTGAACTGTGTGCTCAGTCGTGTCCAGCTCTTTGCGACCCCATGGACTGAAGCCCACCAGGCTACCCTGTCCATGGAATTTTCCAGGCAAGAGTACTGGAGTGGATTGCCATTCCCTTCTCCAAAATCTAAAATAAATGAATATATATAAGAAAACAGAAGCAGGCCCATGGATACAGAGACCAAACTAGAGGTCACCAGTGAGGTGAAAAAAGAAGGGAGTGGTGAGATAGGAATATAGGATTGAGACACAAACTACTGTGTATAAAATAAGCAACAAGGACACATTCATTGTACAGCACAGGAAAATATAGCCATTATTTTGTAGTAACTTTAAATGGAGTATAATCCATAAAAATATTGAATCACTATGTTATATACCTGAAAGTAACATAATATTTTAAATCAACTATACTTCACAATTTTTAAATTATTTTTTAAATATAAATTTATTTATTTTAATTGGAGGCTAATTACTTTACTATATTTAAAAGATAGTAGAAAAGACTTCTGTTCAAGATGTCAGAATAGAAGTTATGTGTGCTCATCTCCCCCTGCGAGGCCACCATAATCACAACTAGCTATTGCACAACCATCAACAGAAGGACACTGGAACCCATCAAAAAAAGATACTCCAAAGTATCTTCTTTGTCCAAAGACAAAGAAGAAGCTGCAGGGAGATGGTAGGAGGGGCACAATCATGATAAAATCAAATCCCAACCTCACTGGATGGGCAACCCAGAAACTGGAGAAAAATAAGCCAAAGAAGTTCTCCCACTGGAGTGATGGTTCTGAACCCCACGTCAGGCTTCCAACCTGGGGATCCAACAAAGGGACTGGGAATCCCCAGGGAATCTGACCTTGAAGGCCAGTGGGATCTGATTACAAGACTTCCACAGGACTGGGGGAAATGGAAACTCCAGTCTGGAAGGTCACAAACAAAATCTTGTGTGCACCAAGACTCAGAGAAAAGCAGCAGTAACCCACAGGAGACTGAAGCAAAACTACCTGCTAGTGTTGGAGGGTCTCCTGTGCAGGCGTGGGTCAACAGAAGCTCCCTACAGGAAGCGGGGAAGAGGCAGCAGCAGTCTCGGAAGGTCCCCCTTGATGTAAACGCTCTTGAAGGTCATCAGTAACCAGACCAAGAACCCACAGTCCCAAGGGCTGGGTTGGCTCAGGCCAAAAAACTACCAGGGAGGGGACACAACCCCACCCATCAGCAGGTAACTGAATTAAAGCTGTTCTGAGCAAGGCTCTGCCCACTAGAGCAAGACTAGTTTTTCCCACCAGCAGTCCCTCCCATCAGGAGGCTTACACAAGCCTCTTAGCCTCCTCCATCAGCGGGAAGACAGAAGAAGCAAGAAGAACCACAGTCCCACAGTGATTAAAACAAAACATTAAAGAAAGTTAATCAGCATGAAAAAGCAGGAAGTTGCATCCCAGATGAGGGGACAGGATCAAACCCCAGAAAAACAACCAAATCAAATGAAGATAGGTAACCTTCCAGAAAAAGAATTCAGGATGACAGTGAATATGATTCAGGATATGGGAAAAAGAACGGAAGATCTACAAGAGCTAAAGAACAAACAAACGAGATGAATAATATACTAGAAGGAATCCATAGCAGAATAACTGAGGCTGAAGAATAGATAAATGACCTGAAGGACAGAATGGTGGAAACCACTGCCACAGAACAGAATATAGAAAATAGAATGAAAAGAAATGAAGACTGCCTAAGAGACCTCTAAGTGAAGTCGCTCAGTCGTGTCCGACTCTGCGACCCCATGGACTGTAGCCCACCAGACTCCTCCATCCATGGGATTTTTCAGGCAAGACACTGGAGGGGGTTGCCATTTCCTTCTCCAGGAGATCTTCCCGACCCAGGGGTTGAACCCAGGTCTCCCGCATTGCAGGCAGACGCTTTACAGTCTGAGCCCCCAGGGAAGTCCAGGACAACATTAAACACCTCAACATTCACGTTACAGGGGTCCCAGGAGAAGAGAGAGAGAAAGGATCTAAGAAAATATTTGAAGAGCTAATAGCTGAGAACTTCTCTCACATGGGAAAGGAAATAGTCAGCCAAGTCCAGGAAGCACAGAAAGTCCCAGGCAGGATAAAACCCCGGGAGGAACACACCGAGACACACAGTAATCAAACTGACAAAAATTAAAGACAGAGATAAAGTGTTAAAAGCAACAAGGGGGAAAAGACAAATAACCTACAAGGGAACTCCCATTAGGCTATCAGCTGATTTCTTAACTAAACTTGTAAGCCAGAAGAGAGTGGCATGATATATTTAAAGTGATGAAAAGGAAGCGACTACAATCAAGAATACTCTACCAAGCAAGACTCTCCTTCGGGTTTGATGGAGAAATCAAAAACTTTCCAGACAAGCAAAAGTTAAGAGAATTCAGCACCACCAAATCAACTGTACAACAAATGCTAAAGGAACTTGTCTAGGC